CATATATCAGTATGTATAATTTCAAGAAGCTGAGTGCTTCTTGTGGCTCTTTTCTTTGTGTGTTTTGTTTGTTTTCCTTTAATACAATCTACACAAATATTAAGGTCCGTAAAATCTAAATGTAGAAGGATTTCATTCTTAACTAGCCTTTCCAGTCTTTCCTTGGATATGTGAACTAAACGTTTATGCCACAAGTAAGCTGAATGTTCATTCACCAAACTACGTTTGGTTCCAACATTATGATGTAGAGTTAGGAGGGTTTCGGCCAACAAATTATCAAGGTTCAATTTGTATAGATTATCACAAATAATACCAGAACCAATAAGATGATTATGCTTAAACAAACTGAAACATCCATTGCCAAAATTTAAAAAATATCCAGCTTTATCTAACTTAGACAAGGAAATTAAATTTCTTGAAAGAGAAGGTACATAAAAAGTTTTAAATAAGTCTAAGTGACGCCCAATATCTAGGATTAAACGATAAGTCCTGACAGCTTCAACTGGAGCCTTCACTCTATTCCGCATGTACACAAATCTTTCATTTTGATTTATGGTCTGGGTTGTAAGGAATCCCTACATTGTATGAGAAACATGAACAGTAGAACCAGAGTCAATCCACCAAATATTATAAGGAACTTCAGTTAAATTTGATTCGAGACATATAAAAGCACAAGGCTTACCTTTCTTCTCGAACCATGCCTTACGTTTCAGGCAATCTTTCTGAAAGTGTCCAGGTTTTTCACAGAAACGACACTTATCATTCTTGTGTTCCTTCTTACGTACTTGAGAAGAGGACTCATTGACATTATGTTTCCTCTGCTTAACTTTTCCATGTTTCTTTCCTTTCTTTCCAGCTCTTTGATGTCCTACAAGATTAATGGAGTGAGTTCCTTGATTCTTCAGCCTTGTTTCCTCTTGAACCAGTATACCGTGCAGTTCATGCACGTTCCATTTGTCTTTCATGGTGTTGTAGTTCATTTGGAAAGGGCCATACTCAAATGGTAATGAGTTAATAATGAATTGAACAAGGAAATTCTCATCCACTTCCATTCCCAAAGTCTTAAGTCTTGCTGCTATATTTGTTATTTCAATGACATGCTCATGCATGGTACGCGAACCATCAAATTTTATGGTGGTTAAAGTACCCATTAGTGTCCCAGCAATAGACTTATCAGCAATTTGGGAGCATTCTTCCACAAGTTTCAGAAGTTCTTTCGCACTTTCAGTTTTGGGAAGAGTAGTCTTAATGTTGCCTGCAATATTCATTCGTATAACCATTAGGCTTAATCTGTTAGACCTGTCCCAATGCTTAAAATAGGACCTTTCTTCAGTACTACTAGTTTTAGTAATAGTTGTTGGCCTCTCAGTATAAAGTGCAACATCAAGATCTAAAACTCCAAGATGGAATTTTATCTGTTCGCACCAATCTGAGAAGTTGAGTCCGTTAAAGGTCGTAACAGAAGCAGAGTGCAAATGAAGAGCAAGTGCTGCAAATAAAATATGCCCATTCATTAATGCTTTGAGTTAAAATTAAATATATCATTAAATTCAGAATGGTTTATGTTTTACTCTTAAATGTATATTGATGTCCACCTTTGGGCGTAACACAAAATACAATTTTTAACATAATGATGCTTAAAATAAATTTTACATAATTCAATATTTTTAATGTACAAGTTAGTAGTATTTACTATCTTTGGATAAATAAATAAAACTAACGATACATTTAAATTATCGATTTAATGTTTAGTAATTATAAGAACAAACAATCAACCTTTGGGCGATCCATAAATGTCTTGTAATTAAGAACTTCAATTTACCCACAAAAGAAGATCCATCATGTCGTTTATAAACATCAAAACTTATGGGTAATTGGGTATAACAATTCATTATTTTGGAATTAATTATTCATAATGATTCGATCACTTTGGTGACGAACTTCATGTTTATAATTCCAATGAAATTTTGAAACGGTATTCTTCCAAATATAATTCTTAAGTTTGGAACTTATCACTGAATCCACATCGCCGAATCCAATAAATTCATAAATATTCTACTGTGTCCAATTAGAGTGATGAATATTGTTTTCACAGTTTCACGTTTATTTACTAATTATGATGGCAAGTATTTGAAGCAAATCTTTTACTTGTCGAATCCACAAAGCCAACATGATCATGAAATCAAATGATAATCAAATATACTATTGGTCATCAACACATAAAAATCAATTTATATTTGCTTCGCTATTACTATTGACAGTAATTGTGAAATTCCTTGAATACATAATTAGGATTCACAAAATTGAGGAAACGTTAATTTTAGCGAAAAATCTTTAGTTCCTAAACCTGTGCTCTGATACCACATGTTAGGATTTTCTCAATTCTAGATTGTGGTTTATAAACAATCTATATAAAATCCTATCAATTATTCAGAACCGTGGAATTATATGATTTTCACATAAAATACATATACAATAACTTTAATCAAGAAAACTTACCTAAATCCATGATGTGTTTTCTTAATAAAATTGAGCGGAAGTCTTCTTCAGAGTTGTTGTTCTTGAGAAAATCAATATTTCTCTCTCTTTTCCTTTTCTACGTTCTTTTCAGAATAGAATCTGAGGAGTTACGCTATTCTTCCTTTAATAGGCAGAGAGAGGGACCATCAGTTAATTCTCACTTTCCATCAAAGTGGGTTAGTGGGGAGTTATAACCATAATTAACTTCCCCTAATTTTATCCAATTATTAATTTAACAAAATATATTTGTATTAAACAAAAATACTCACGTGGGCCATATTTTACACTTGCATGTCTTCATGATGTCGATGCTACTCTTTTTTGCGTATCCTTTGAATAATAGTGTATCAGCTTGCTAATAACTTTTAGATAATCCGGTCATGCAATTTTTGTAACTTTAGTTTTTTTTCCCTAAGTTAAATTGTTGAAGTGATCAACACGTCAGTGAAGTGTGAAACAGAAAAGACGGATATTAAAGGTGTGTTTGGTACTAAGAAAAATATTTGGGATCTTTACCCAAACAGCCATCCATATTCTTTGTTTACTTTTTTTAGTCATATAGTACATAGTTTAAATATTTGTTATATATAATTATACATATATAATAATTATACATATATTATACCTTCACCGGCTATTTTTAGTTTAAGTGGTTGGTTGGATGACTATTTGCGTTAATTCTTCAAAATAAAATAGATTTTTTCTAGAAAATATTTTCTAATTTTCAATATTCGGTTGGCTTAAATATTTTGAAAAATATTTTTCTCATGAACTCATTTTTCTCTAATTGGAGAAAAATGTTTTCCCTACCAAAAGACGAGAAAATATTTTTCAAAATTCTTTTTTAACCTTCCCCACCCTATTCCCATCTCCACCAACCCCTCTACACCCCACCCACTCTACCCCAACCCAACCCATCCAAAACCACCACAACCCCTACCCCCGACCTCCTATCCTAAATAGAAATGTTATTAAGAGTACTTTTTTTTCTTGTTATAGATAGGCGTACTTTTTTTCTTATTTCAACAAAATGTGTATTTTTTTCATGATGTAAAAAAGTTTTTCTTTCATCTCAACAAATGATGCTGTAAAAAGTATATTTTTTTCATTTCAACAAAGTATTTTTTTTCTTGATGTAGAAAAATTATTTTCTTTCTTAACGTAGAAAAGTTATTTTCTTTCATTTCAATAAATGATAACTTTCTTTTCATCTTGTAGAAAGAGTACTTTCTTTTTCAACCAAACAAAGAGTATTTTCTTTTTTGTTATGGAGCACAAATTTCAACGCTACTTTTGCGTGAAAAAGTAAAACAACACATTAGTTCCTTTGGGTTTCTACAAATTTTTAAAAGAATAATTAAATTCATGCAGAAAATAGAGTACTGAAAACGTTGAGCATTTGGGATTGTGGTTTNCCTAAAAAATACTTTTTGCTCTCTAACCAAATACTGAAAAATATTTCTGAAAAAAAAAATTTCACTTACCAACTAAATAAGTAAAATTAAGTGATAAAGCTACTCATTTTTCAGGAAAATATTTTTCATAGAAAGCATTTTCTTTTGATACCAAACACACCCTAAATTAAGGTCACTTAGATGGTAACATTTCAAAATTTCCAAGATTATTGTCTTGTTTTTACTGCCTTGTTAGGTCTTATTGTTAGGGAATACTTTTATCCTTCTAGATTAAGGAACATTTTCTTTTACTATTTCTCCTCAAATAGCCTAATCTTCAACGAGGATCTACAATACAGGATATACATGTACATCTTATATCCTACAAGTAATTTGTCGCAGTTTTTTATTAATTTTTTTTTATTGCGGATACATTACGCAAGGAATGTAAATTTATCCGCACGTTATTTACATCTAGGTGATAATATGTGTAAATTATAATTTAATGATAATCGAAATTGTGTGACTTTTCATCAAATAATTAAGTACGTTGACTAATAATAGTGATAGCATCATATGTTGTCACTATATGCGTAATTAGGAGAAGGACAAGTCATATCTTAGGTTTCTTAGTTGTCATATGCTTACAAAATTACATTGATTTTAATTTGATCCAAAGTTTCTTAGTAGGCGTTTGGACATAAGAAATGTAAAATTTGAAAAATGGCGAATTTTTTTTAAGTGAAAATTGTATTTGAAATTTAGAGTTGTGTTTGGATATAAATTTCATTTTGGGTTGTTTTTGAAGTTTTGTGAGTAAAAATTTTGGAAAACAGTTTTTTGGAGTTTTTTTGAAATTTTTAAAATGCATCTTCAAGTAAAAAATAAAAATTTTATGAACAAACCTAATTTCGAAAAAAGTGAATTTTTTTGTCCAAACGGGCTCTTAGTTAAAAGTAAAACTCCCCCTTACTGTGGTGTCGTCAAAAGATAGACACAGATAAAAGTGGAACAGAAACCGCCAACAGTTAAAACCAGTGACATCCATCAGTCAAAACTTTCAATTGACCTAGCTACTAACCTTTCTTTTCAAAACAAAAACTAAAAATCATATCCTCACAGTCTCCATTTCCAATAATCAATTTCATTCTTCTAAAAAAAAATGTCCTCAAATTCCCAATTTCTTCTCAAAACCCTCTTCTTACTCTTCATTTTCCCATTGGTCAACGCTCGTTCTATAAAGTCAACGCTTCATAAAACTACAGAGCTCGACGAATCATTAACATATCTATGGCCTTTGCCTTCTCAATTCACTTTCGGTAACGATACGCTTACTGTTGATCCCAATTTGTCTATTGTTTTTACTGGCAATGTTGGTGGGTCTGTTATTGTTAAAGAAGCTTTTGAGAGATACAAAAAGATTATTTTCAAGCATGGTTCTAAGTCTGGTGATTTTTTTGATGTTACTCAGCTCACTGTCATTGTTCATTCCGATAACGACGAGGTAATTTATTTTTCCAAAATAGTTAAGTGCTTATTTGTTTTATCTTATTGTTGGGATGAGTATTGTGTTGAATTATGTGAACTGTGTCATCTAAAAAATATAGTACTCCCCTCTGTTTCAATTTATGTCAACCCATTTGACCGGGCAGTTTAAGAAAAGCGAGAATACTTTTGAACAGCTGATGTAAAATGCGGCACATATATTTTGTGTGGTTATAAATCACTGCGCGAAGGTAAATTGTTTCCAAATAAGGGAAGAGGTCATTCTTTTTGGCACGGACTAAAAAGGAAATAGGTTCACATAAATTGAAACGGAGGGAGTATGATTTTTATGGATGTTATATGGACTAATAGTGTAAAGAGTCAGTGAATTTTTAGCATGTTAGTTACCTTTTTTACCCGATTACCAATTAATGCATATCATAGAATTTACCTGTAATTATCTTATAGTTGACCTGATTGTGGAAATGTTTTTTACACCTAAATAGAACTTAACTCTCTTTGTATCTATTTATGTTTGCAATACGACATTCTGTATGGCCTAATACATCAATTTTGAACCTTTATGATGATATTATGTTGAATTGTGTGAACTGCCTTATTTAAAAGTTTTAGCTGATAGAGAGGACATTTTATGGAGAAATTAGAAGTGATTTATGTTGGTGATTTGAATCACGTTATTTCATTTTCCAGCTGCAACTTGGTGTTGATGAGAGCTATTCGTTATTGGTGACGAAGAGCAATGAACATTCGATTATCGGGGAAGTCTCGATTGAGGTAATGTTACAGTTGAGTAATGTTAATAAACACTAAGGTGATGGAACTCTTCTTCATTTTTTCAGTTGCATACACATGTTTCGTAACAGGTGGCAGCATTTGAAGAAATGAACAAACGAATAAATTACTATAGCGTGACATCGCTTGGGGCAAGGGGCATCTGCCCCTGCATTTCTTGCTCAATCTAGTTTGAGCTATAAGTTCTTTTCTGCTAAAACCCTTTTTCTGCCCACAAGCTCTCATAGGAAGTAGAGCTAGATCAAAATCTCCGTGAATTAAAAGAATGCATCTAATGCTTAAGATGTGGAGAATGATTCACCCAGTCTACTTCAAAACATGTGTTGATCTCAAATGTATCTGTAGAATCTGAAGAGAAAATTTATGCTGTAAGAAAATTAGTAAATAGAGATTTAAGGAGTCGGAAGAATGTAGAGTGATGGTTTCTTAATAAATTTTTCCCAAGTGAAGGGTAAAACTATATGCTTTTCTAAAACTTTCTCGTATTCTTTTTCCTTTCCTATCGATATATTGTTCTTATAGTAGCATTGCTACTCTTTTCCTTATATGTGGAGAATTGTGGTCATAACTCTTGCTCTAGCTCCTGAATAGTCCTGATAGTCAACTTAGCCTATTGTATCATCTCTTTTATTGCTCTCTGATAGCTGGGTTAGCTAGCTAGTCTAGCTTTATCATAGTGACTTAACTTCATTCTGTAGTGTTAACCGACTTTTCAAGAAAAAAGACAAAAAGAAGAAGAGTCTTGTCCTGTAATCTCTTACTCTGCTATCAAACGTTACATGATAGGGTGCTAGATTGTGCATTCATTAATTGGGGTTTTACACCTGGAAGTACATGAGTAATTTTTCGTCAAAACTGCAGGCAAATTCTATTTATGGTGCGCTAAGAGGACTTGAGGTACGTATGTTGAATGAACATGGTTTATTTATGACTCTTGGTTTCATATGCTCCCTGATAACAAAAAGTTTACTCAAACCCTTTTCTGCAGACAATGAGTCAGTTATGTATTTTTGATTATGGGGTTAAAACCGTGCAAATTCACAAGGCTCCATGGTTTATTCAAGACAAGCCAAGATTTGCATATCGGGGGCTTCTGCTAGGTATCATGCTTTAAACTGATCCATTTGATTCTTGACTTGGTGGTCATGTAATATGTAACTCGTCATACTTCTGAGAATGAGTCAAAACATATGGACATTGCCTTTTGTAGATACACTAACTGATCTACTTGTTGTATTGCTGAATTGTTTTGCAGATACGTCAAGGCACTATTTGCCAATTGAAATTATCAAGCAAATTATTGAATCCATGTCCTACACTAAACTTGTAAGTTGTTGAATCCTATTTTCTGACCCAGTTTTGAATTGGGTGGTTCTGCTTTTCTGATATTGCTGATTGGAATCAGTAGAATGTTCTTCATTGGCACATCATAGATGAAGAGTCGTTTCCTCTAGAAGTGCCTTCATATCCAAACTTGTGGAAAGGGTCATATACAAAGTGGGAACGCTACACTGTTGAGGATGCTTATGAAATTGTTGAGTAAGAATTTCCCCCCGGCTTAGCTAATTTACAGTCTTTTTGGTATGAAGGATCTTCCCCCAAAACTTCTTCAATAACCTTGAGCACAGGAAGTGATTTTTTCTTTTATTTCCTATATGTTTTGGACAAAGGCATGAGCATTTATTCCATATTTCTTATACAAGAAAAGGAAAAAAAATGAAAGGGTGGTAACTGGAGGTGCTAAAATCTTCATCTCAAGTGGCTGTTAGTAAGCCAAATATAGTATCCTAGACAATTGTTCATATGGCTTTAGAGAGGTCAATTTTGTGAAGTACTTATATCACACTGGATCCAAATTCTAGTTTGATCAGGATTTGGTAGTTGGGTTGTGGGGGGGGGGGGGGGGGTTATGGGGTTGGTGAATTGATCCACATTGTATTTGCTTGATCCTCTCTTGCCGAATGATTAGAAAGGTCTGGAGTCGTCCCTTTTGGTTATTCGCATTACATGTCATTTTAGCCAAACCAAATATTGGAGTACTATTAAATCTAACGCTTAACTTTAGTCAAAAAGCTTATATTGAGATCTAGTTCAACACATCAAAAGGATCATTTTGTACCATCTAGAGTATAGGTTAAAGCTATCCAATTAGTTGGGAAAATTTCTTAGAGAGCCATCTGATGTTGAATTGAATGAGTACTATGAACTTAAAGTTGCAAGCTTATCCTTTCATTTAAAGAGTCAAAAAAAGGTTGTTTCTCATACCATCCCAGAAGAGCCATAGCATAAAGGGCGCTCTGGCCTATTACTTGTAATCTGGAGGCCAATGAGAGAAGTTTACTCCATAAACTACCGATGGATTAATGTAACATTTCAAATCTGAATCAGACAGAAACTTTAGCAACCTTCCACCCGCCGAAAAGAAAAGGAAAGGGCGGCAGAGAGAGGGTGGAGAGTGCGAGGAATAAGTGCTGGCGACATTGATTATGTAATTTTAATACATATGCTCTTATTCAAATTGTTTCTGGGTATTGTTAAAGCTTCCAGGAAAAATTGAAACAATTCTTTGTTCCTAGAACTATGATAATCTGTTATGTTATTATTTGTTTGTTCTGTTTTTGCTTCTCGTCAGATGTTCCTAAATTAGAAACTGATGCTGACAGAGTTCTCCTTGTTTCTTGTCTTCATGATGTCTTATCACATTGAAGCTTTGCTAAGATGAGAGGTATGTGACATCTTCGAAGTCTATGCAAATGTTTCATTACCTCATCTTTAAAAGCTTTTTGATTGTTGGTTAATGCAATGCGGCTGCACTTTTCTTGATAAGTAAATAGAATGTATTTTGTCCTTTTCTAAACTGCAATATTACCTGCACAGGTATCAATGTTATGGCAGAAGTCGATGTTCCAGGTCATGCTGAATCATGGTAAGTGCTTTAGAGAATTGGTGTTTCCCTCGTACTATTGGGTCTATCGAGCTTTTATTAGCAAACTATGGATCTTTGAAATTTTGAATTGCTGCCGGTTTGCCTTAATTGCTCTTTAACTCTTATCTGACTAAATCTCCTTCAGGTTTTAAACTAAGTCGGCCAGTATGGTTTTTCTTGGTATTGCATAAAGATATCAGTGCTTAGGCAAAAAGCACAAAAACATTGAGAGATGTATTATTGAGGTGACAAGTGGAATAGCTTTTCCTGTGTATTGAGCTCTTTACTTTTCAGATCAGTCATATTTGTTCACCATTCCAACAGTCAAACTATGATTTCTGAAATAAAGGAAGGTGTCCTGCCTTTTGTGAAAGTGAAATGTTAAACGAAAGTAAAGAGAAAAGACAGAAAGAAATGTAGAAGAATTTGATATTTGCATGGGGAAAGTAGTTGTACCTCTAAGCAGAACAGAGATACCAGGGAATAAACACTTCGCCTAATTCTTTTGAATCCCAGTCCTCCCGCCTAACTAAGAAGCTTAAAACCACTAAAAGAACTTGGTTGATAAACATACATGAAAGCATATTGACAGAGTGGTCCATGGAGAATATTCCAGATGAGCTTTGTCTTGTTAGTTTTGCCAGGACATTTTTGGTGGTAATAATGTTTTGCCAAAAAAGATGTAAAATTTAAGTTAGGTCATCAGTCCCTTTAGTTGTGTTATAAATTTATTTCATGTCTCAATTTGGTTTTATTCACTATGCAGGGGTGCAGGGTACCCTGATCTTTGGCCTTCTCCATCTTGTAAAGAGCCACTAGATGTCTCAAAAAACTACACTTTTGATGTCATTGCTGGCATCCTGGCAGGTTAGTTCAGAAGGTTTCTCTTGAAGAATTCTCCCATTTTTTCTGGAATTATGTAATTGCATATCTTCCCCTATTTGATGTAGCTATGAAGGGTATATTTTCCCTATGTACTGATATTTGATTGGATTTATCATTATCTTTTCTTTGGCGATTAGAGCCTATTTATTAGTTAGAGATAATCTTATCTTAACTTTAGACTTTGAAGATAGGGCCTCGTGTACTTTGTCTGGGACAATTGTAGGACACATGATGAATTGATTTGAGTATCACATTATCTTCTCTCTTTAACCCCTGCTTCTTGCCCTCTTCTCCTTTCTTTTCCCCTCTCTCATTCTCTCTCCCCCCGCTTGTGTCTACTCTCTTATTCTTTGGTCTCATTCCCTTTCTCTTTCTTTCCGCCTGTGTCTTCTCTATCTCTTATCCTTTTCTCTTTGTCGCCTTTCTCATTTCTTTCCTTGTCTTTCTTCCTTTCTGTATGACATCTCTATCTCTCTCGCTATGTACCTTGTATCCTGGAATATTTTATTTGTTAGCACCCTCTATTCTTATCCGTCAAAATGTTTCACACAGTTGTACGTGGATCCGAATCTCGTAGTAAAACATGGCTATTTGGAGCAGCTAGCTGATGGATTTCATGATTACAGCTTACACGCTTGAAAAAAAAACTTTATCAGGACTTATCACACTTCGCAAAAACTTGAAAATGAAGGTCAATTTCCTTTTCAGTTTTGTGGCACCCCTTTCGTTGTCCGAAACTTTTACATGACATACAATTTCTTGAATAAAAGTGAGTAATAATTGCATAATCTGGTTCTGATTTCTGCTGGACTCGTGTGAGATAAAATCCTATACATGATGTTTTCTTATTCTAGTATTATCTCATGCTTTGTTAGGACTTAAAACAAATTTACAGCTGAAGTTATAATTCTCTGTTGTTCCCTTAAATGTTAATTCTTATGTAGCATTTGTTATATGTTTATATTCATTTATGGACCAGCTTGTGAACTTCTGTCTCTATACCCACCTTACTAGCTAGAAACACGTAAAAGATCAGCATGATTTTTATATTGTTGATGAAGCAGTTTTCTCTATGTGGTTTTCTCTGAGTTTCATGTCTCTTCTTTTTCCTTTTTGGTTTATTTGTGATCTCTATTCTATCCCCTTCTGTTGGCTTTTTTTCTTAAATAAATAAAGTTTAAAATTTTCCTTTATTACACGCATTTTTAGTATGTCTATGGTGTCAGTATACTCAGTTTTTGTCTTCAATATTAGGAGTTTTTCAGTTAATCATCAAAACACCATCTAACTCAAAGTTGTTGTGCATGAAGAACCATTAGTTTTTCTCTGCCTTGTCGCTGTGGATGTTAGATTACCAATTTTTTTATTTTTTTTATTTTTTGTTTTATATTTTTTTGCAGACATGAGGAAGATTTTTCCATTTGAGTTCTTCCACTTAGGTGGTGATGAGGTCAACACAAGTTAGTATTCTTTCGATATATTTGCAGAAATTTCCTTGTTTTGCTGCTTTACTAATTTTAGCTAATTTCTTTTGAGCAAAAGGAATAGAAAACGATTATCTGCATATCCACAAATGTCAAGTCAAGATAACTCATTTCGTCAGAGTCAAAATTGTGAAGATTAAGGAATCATTGGTCTAGAAGTATACTGAAATTCTTCGTAAGGGTTAAACTACTATGCCTCTTCTCTTGGATAAAGAAATTATGTAGAAAGCATGAACTAGACAACAGTGCTGTTTTTCTACTTTCTTTCTATTTGTGGGTATTGAAGACATGTCACACCTTTCAGCTTGGTACTAGAGCATTAGGTTTGAGTCTCACCGCCATGTATTATTAAAAATAATTTTCACGTGCTTTGGCCCATGAAAAAGAATTAGGTGCGCACATGCGGAGGCATACTGAAGATATAGTTAAGTAAACAAAAGCGTGCTCTCTCTAAAAGCTTAAGCTTTTAGATGAGGTGGTCACACATCTCCCAACAGTGGGGAAGCAAAAGAAGAAGAGACCTCTAGAATAGAATTTAGATGCTGCAAGTACATAGTGATAGCCACTCATGGGCATGTAGTGGCAGCCTATCCTTCATTTGAGAGTCCCAGAACTTTCAGTGCTGTATCATGTTGTAATTTGTGTTTCCGGAACTTCTTTTTTGCGGATCATCCATAAGACTGATAACTTAGGATTTCTTCTTTCATTAGCACTGCAAATATTTTTTTTCCCTTTCTTTTAGGCTGCTATCAAACATTTGGTGGTGATATGCTTTATATTAGTTGTTAAGAAGAAAAGATATTAACATCGTTTGACCACTTTTCTTTTGACGGTGGCTTTTGTCCATTTTCTCTTGTTTAAAAAGAACTCTCACTATATGCATATCTTTCTCGCCATGCATGCACTCACACACATGAAAAGAATTTTTGTTTATTGGAATGTTTTTGTGGTTGGATGTCATGACCAACTGCCCACTCCGTTCCAGCTCTCCCAGAAAAGGATGGGAGAAATGATTAAATAGAAGTATTGAAAGCTGTTATTTTGTTGCAGCTTGTTGGACAACTACGCCACACATCAAGCAATGGTAATCTCTCTCTTCTTATTATGTCCTTTCTGAAGTTCCAAAAAATGATGAACTTAGTGTTTCAGTCGTGGACTTATATCAGGAAGCTGAAAATCTCGAGTGATTATAGGGACTCCTATGTTTACAAATATGCATCTTATGTTTCACACATTTATATTATGTATGGAGACCAAGCTGTAGTTGAAATGTCATCCGTTTTTATACCAATAAAAGGCTGTTGGAGTAACTATTCACCGTTTTTATTATGGTATTTTGTGTTTTAGATTTAGATGACTTCTTCCTTTGTTGACAACATGCCCAGTGGCATCTCTTTAATTATGTAAACTATCTTGATTTTTTCTCTGCAGTGCTGTTCATACCCTCATTCTGTTTGCAGGCTTCAAGATCATAATATGACTTCGAAGGATGCGTATGAGTATTTTGTACTCAGAGCTCAAGAAATAGCTATATCACATAACTGGACACCTGTTAACTGGTAACTTCGCTTATAAATGCTCTCCTCTATCACAAAGAAAGGGCCCTGTTATACTTGTAAATTCATGTTTTTCTTCATTATCAGTTGCAACTTACAAAAGGAATGATGAAGATAAACTAAATAATGGTTAAAAAAATTAGCCACAATAAAATCAGTGTGAAGATATTGCTGGACTGTGGTTCCATTGAACTTAGTGAAGTAAGATACAGTCCTGTGGGTTATCTCCTTTGTGTAACTTGGCAAAGGTATTAAAATTAGAGTTGAAAATATGTGTTGCAAATACATTAATTGAAGGACATGTCGGGCCCTTTATTTAGTTTCTTGTACTTTAGATTTATTAGGAGATGACAATAAGTAAAGAGAGACCGATGTGACGCTTTCTGTTTTATAATGCTTACTAAAAGTATGTTTTCTAGAGAAGTGTTTGTTTAATTCAAAAAAAATCACGAGCATTTATTTCGGGTTTAAGACAGCCATTTGTTTTTTTTTCTTCTAATGTATGACATGGTGTGTGAATTTGTTATTGTAGGGAAGAAACCTTCAATACGTTTCCGTCTAAACTTAACCCGCAGACTGTGGTGCATAACTGGTGAGGATCAATCTACTGGTTATAAGATGAGGCTTTTTTGGTTAATATGCAACCATCTGAATATCTTGTTAATGTAGGTTACGTGGTGGTGTTTGTCAAGAGGCAGTTGCAAAAGGTTTTAGATGCATTTATAGCAATCAGGGGTTTTGGTATCTGGACCACTTAGATGTCCCTTGGGATAAAGTTTATTACACGGAGCCGCTGGAAGGAATAAAGAGTATTTCCGAGCAAAAACTTCTACTTGGAGGTGAAGCGTGCATGTGGGGTGAAACTGCAGATGCTTCAGATGTTCAACAAACCATATGGCCACGGGCTGCAGCTGTAGCAGGTATTCTCTTGGATATGTTGGATTACACGAAACTTATTGTAGTTCAACTATGCTACATATCACGAATATATCTTGTTCTACAACCTTAGTTATGATGGCGTTCCTTAAAGGAGCATTTGGTCAAAGTGGCAGAAGCATGACGACTTCTTTTTCTGAAACCAAGACCTTTTTTTTCTTTTTCATTTTGGTATTTACATCTTCGCTTCACAAGACCGGCCAGGAAATAGTGCTCACGCATTGCTTGACACTGGTCTTCCACTTAGTATTTTGCTGTCATATATTTGGTGTTCTTTCTCCAGAAGAAATTTCAATCTTGCTTTTGATATTGCTTTTTGTTTACCATCTAGAACGGTTGTGGAGCGACAAGGAGGCAACATCTTCAACAAATACTACTTCGGCTGCATTGCAAAGGTTGGAGTACTTTCGATGCCTCTTGACGAGGCGTGGGGTTCCAGCTGCTCCAGTTACCAATTTTTATGCTCGACGTCCTCCATTGGGCCCAGGGTCATGCTATGAACAATAACTTGTGTTGTATCATCTAGTTCGATCCGTGTGCTGGAACTGGTAAGTTTGTGAAGCTTGTGAACTAGTAAGTCTTGTCAACTTGACGCTGCTGCATGGTCTCCTGGGCTTAGGAAGGATTCCACTTTGAGATTGTCGTTTACTCTCTAGTTCTCGGGCTCTTTGCTGTAACTTTATAGTGGTTTGTTAATGTGAATAAGAGAAAAATGGATGATCTTTGCAAGACTTCCATGCTTACAGACTTGGGATTTGACATTATTTCGCCTCATGTATTACATTCGAACTTGTAATTTCATATTCTTACTTCATTCCTTTCCTGTTTTCATATTGCGCCAAAAGAAAATGTCCATAATTTCTAACATCTTATTCGAGCGATGTTACCTTCATGATAGGGGTAAGGTCTGCCTGTACATTACTCTCCCCAGACCCCATTTGTGGGATTACACGGGGTATATTATTGTTGTTATTCAAGCAATTCATTTCAAAATTTTGGAACATAAAGGTTTGCTATTCATTCTGTTTTGGCTTTTTCTACGAGCAACATTTTTCTTTTTTTTGGTTGGAGGGAGATAAAGGGATAAGAAGACGGCTGGAAAGAAAGAGGATCTTTTAATAAGGGTGTCCTGATCAATTTGAGCGTATTTTGACTATTTAATCTAGTACTCCCTCCGTTTATTTTTACTTTGGTTTTTAACGCTCCTTAAAAAACGTAATAAATTAAGTACATAATTTATTATGATACCCATATTAATTGATGCATATTTTATTGGATTTGAGAAAATGATTTGAAATAGGTAATAAATATTGTGAGTATAATAGAATTTTTTTTTGTTTTCTCTTGATATGCGTAAAGTGACAAGTAAAAATGAAAATCTATTTAGTATATATGCTAAGCAAAAGTGAACGGAAGGAGTATGCAGTAGCGAAACTAGGAATTTCCCTAAGGGTGTTTAAATTTAAAAGAAGTGAGGAATTTTTGACAAAGGATGTTCAATATATGTTATATACCTATAAAATATAATATTTTACCTATATACATAATGCAATTTTTCGATGAAGGTGGTCAATCAATATGGATTCGCCACTGGGAGTATGTGCTTACTCATCTGCATATGTATTGGGTAAACTGAGTAGGGGTTTGGACATTAAAATAGTAATTTTTGAAAAAAAAAATAGTATTTGGAATTAAGTTAAAAAATGATATTTGGAATTTGAAATTATGTTTGGTCAAACATTTCACTTGAAAAGATTAGTTTTGCGAATGGGGAAAAAGGCTTTTCTGAAAATTTTGAAAAAATTGTCAAAATTAATTTTTGTTATTTGAAAAAATCATTTTCGAAAATTTTCAAAAACTGTAAAATTTTACGGACAAACACTTTTTTGATTTTTTATTATTTTATTTTTCTGGACAAAAGGGGCCTAAAATAAACATAAATTTTAGCTCCCCAATTTTGACTTAACATCTGTAGTAATAAACTATCGAAGAAATTTTGCGGACAAAGAGGGTTCTAGAATTGGAAGTGACAGTGACCTTAGAATACTGCATGCTATAAGTCATTGGGATTAGGGGTGTATATGGATCGAGTTGGTTCGGTTTTTATCAAAATCAAACCAAACCAATTATATCGGTTTGGATTGGTTCGGTTTTGTCGAGTTTTTCGGGTTTTTTTTGTTACATGAATATTATTTCAATCTTAATTTGTTAAAATTATAGATAAATCTTTGATAAGTGAATATATGTTTAGTAAATTCTAATGGGAGAATTTTTTTAGTAACACATGATAGTTATTTCTTAGTCGTCTAACAATAATTTTTCGTTAATTTACGCTCTCAAGGTTAATACATGAGAGGATCCCAAATATTTCTACATTTTCTAAAGAAAATTCACTATGAAGTCTTAAAAATATAAATAAAATTTATATATTTATATGTCGGTTTGGTTCGGGTTTTTTTACTCAATACCAAACCTAGTCGGGTTTTTTAATCGATTTGGTTTGGTTTTTCGGTTTGGTGCGGTTTTCCGGTTCGATTTGAACACTCCTAATTGGGATTATAGCATAGAAAATGACAGCATAAAAAAGACTAAGAATTGACTAAACTTTCCTATTGAAAGCATTAGTGGAGTTAAATCTGGAAAAGTGTCACGGCTAAGAGATAAAAAATGTATACATTACTATTAACATAGCTGGTCATTAGACAAGACATTTGAATTGAATATTCCTTTTTCCCTTCTGACTCATTATTGTTTGCATCAAGCAAATGAATGTAAAATGTGTATCTTGAGTTGTATATAAGCTTTAATCACTTGATTATGGTCAAGTAATGCCCATTCTCTTTATAATTATGATTTTTTATGATTAAATTATTCGATTTGATGTAAATATTATGGACGGAGCAAAGGGTTAAAAGAGTGTTCATCCGAACTCCCTTCGCCGTAAAATTATTCTATACATGCTAAATCAAAAGTTTTTTTTTTTTATGTATATATAATAGATGTTGGGTTCCCTTAACTTCTTTGTATGTTTACTTCTTTACGGTCTGAATTCCTTGTGGAAATTTCTGGCTCCACCACTGGTAAATATATACCATATGCACCCATTGTTATAAAATCTTAAATCTTTACTAAATTTGTTTTAGCTTTTTCAGCAAATGGTCTTCCCTAATTCCTGAAGTAAGCAACGTTTAAAGGTCTTTCCACTCACTAAATAAATTGAGTGAAAAAGAAGCACTACTTGCTTCTCAAGTTTGAAATATGACTCATATTTGCATTATTGCAAACTCAAATTATTCCACACGGCATTCACCTTTTGCTTATGCATTCTCCAAAATTTCTTTTTCAAGTGACAGTATAAGATTCTTCTATTTAATTATCAAATAGGGAGTACCAAGCTAATTGCCATGGCTACAAGATATTCCACTTTTCTTATTTTGGGAAAGGAGTGGGGGTGGGGGAATGATACTCGGGTCCATGTCGAATAAAAGTTGAAGATTTGTGCGCTCCTCGATTACTTTATTGAGTAATTTTTATTTCCATAGATACTGAACAACTCTATTCATCAACATTTAAATAGAAAATGAAAAGGATAATCGAAGATTAAGGAGCTTAGAGTATTTTTTGAAGGATTGCGTATAGGTGTTCGTAATACGCAGCGGAAGACAATAACAATCCTAGGCAGATCTTTTCGTGTTTAAAGTTTATTTACATGTCAAAGATCGGATCTAAGATGTACCTGGTGAAGAAAGTCTCGTTTCAAATTCTTCGATAGTGCGAAAACTCTATGCGTATCCACACCGAGACTGATCCTTGCTATCAACACTTTGATCAATGAAACCCGCGAACAAATTGAACGAAATATTATGGTGAAATTTTTCTCAAAAATTTCAACTCAAATTAGAAGAATAAGAAACACTTTTCTTGTGATTGTATTTTCTCTCTTGGCTTTATATTGTATTCACACTTTCATAAAGTGTTTTTTCTTCTCAAGAATTTAATAATCAAAGTTTCTTATATGTTTTTCTCTTAATTTTGTGGCTTCTTAAAAGTATTCCGTAGCCTCTTAACCCTCAGTGATGTATTTATATATCACTTAAGCCAACAATACCTTTCATCAGGTTAAGGAAAAATATAAACATGATTTACTTCTTTTACAAGTTCATTCCAAAATTGAATTTTTGTAAAACTTTTTCTATTAGAAAACTAAATCACATTCCATACAGGAATAGAAGTCACGTCCTTTATGGACCTTTTAATTCAATCCAAATTGAATAGTGCAAATCCCATTCTTAATGGGATGTACGTGATTGAAATAAGCCGACAAGTCCTTTTGGACTTTTACGTTAACCCAATTACAAAACTAAATTGATATTATATACGTACAACTTTTATATAATTAATATCAATTAATATTATATATATCCCATATATATTACAACCAAGAGATGCAATTTAATTTTCTATTCCAAATAAAAAATTTCAATTTGTTCACAATATTAACTATATTCTCTGTGCTAGCAATGAATATAATAATATTTCACTTAGACTAATAACTAAATTTATTTGACTAATTAAATTCCTTAATTTAATTATCAAATAATAAGTTAATTAATCCTTTAGCAAATATCAGAACACTCGTAAGTGTGCGACCCCATAGGTTCAATACTAAACCGGTAGTAAATTGATCACATCAATATACTAATCAAGGGTGGCGTCTAGCAACACTCCTTAACGACCGGATAACATGAAGTATACAATTTACTCTCAAGAACCAGTAGAAGAATAATGTAGTAATTCCTTTTGTCCTTATAGCTCTGGATCACCCTAGGATATGGTTCAACTGTCAAATCCTAATAGGCGACCAACTATGTGTTCATGTCAAATATAATCGACCATTGAATGACCTAAGAAACTCTTTTCTTCTTTCATTCAATTGCCCTGGCCAAGGTCTTAGTTTGGTCGTTTATAATTCATGACAACATAGAGCTTAATCTTATTACCAAGAGTTAACAGATTCTATCTTGATCAATCACTAATTCTACAAGCATTTAATCATACCCAATATGCTTTCAACTATCGCCCTAGGGCCATAGGTGTCTGGTATCAAAGCACAATAAATAACTTGTCAATTACTAAGACGATCTCATGTCAAAGGAAATTTTTACATCACATTCTTCAAGAGAATATCCTATTGACAGTTATGGCAATTCTAACCATTAGGAATTATCCAATGAGTCGGTTCAATGACCATATCTCTATATGCATTATCTATCTATGTGATTAGTTAATGAGATCAACTAATCTTTATCCAATAAAAACGATCACATAAATATTGATCTAACCGGATTACTAATGTCCAAATTAATAATCCTACGATCAAGAACAAATTTAGATTAAATTATAAGAGACTTTGCTCTCATTATCATGATCTCTATCACGATGACAAATCTCAAAATTTAATCAAGGACCTTATCAAATTAATCAAANTATCACGATGACAAATCTCAAAATTTAATCGAGGACCTTATCAAATTAATCAAACAATTAATAATAACTATGATAAAAGAATGCCATATATTTTTATATCAAATAACGTTCACAAAAATATGTTCAAATCATCAAATATGAGATTGGATCTAGGGCATGTCTTCTATATCCCTAACATTTTTTACATGGTCGATTATTGAACATTACATAAATTCATTTATTCTTTTGTGATCGCTTGCTTTTCTAATCCAAAGGGTATTATTTATTTTATTTTATATTTTCTGTCCTAAGCAAAGAGCTACTAGCTATGAGACATATTGTCCTTTTAAGCTTAGACTCTTA